TGCAGATTTGGGATGTAGTTGCTCTATAGTTCCTCTTAAAATTTAAGCGATGGCTTGTTCTGTTTTGTGGTAGCTCAGAGTTAGTCAAGGAGGAGTCATTAGCTGTGACTACTGCACCCTGGGACAAAGCCTTAGACAAGAAACTTTAAAAATGCCACAGACCTGGAAAGCCTCAACTAAGTTTACTTTGTTTTTGCTCTTCAGGAGCCTCTGTCTCCATAACCTTTTGGATCTTTGTAGTGCTTGTTAACAAATCCTCTTCCACCCTTAGTGCCTGTAGTGATGCTGCAGTTCAAAGGACCTCTCAGAGCTGCATTTTAAAGTTCAAATTTGGCTCTGCTGCTTTCAGCAGACACCAGAGAGTCTTAATCTGTTAGTTTTGGGCATTTTCTCTTAATCGAGTTTTCTTTTAACTGCTTCAGTTTTACCAATGAGTCCTTTTCATCCCCCAGAGCCAGAGCAATTATTTCTCTTAGCCATGCTCTTGATACAGCCGGAGTGCTTCTAGGTTATCTGTGGATGTCTTTCCTGAAATGATGGGGTAGACTGTTGTATCTTACCTGCAATCATAATTAATCCCAGTAAAATGGCATTGAATTGCTCAGCAGTAAAGTGCATTGTCACTCCCCTCTATCCGCTAGCCAAGGGCTTGGAGAAGAGAAAAGACAAAGCAGTGCAAGTGATGGATATGAAAATATTCCAGACTCGGGACCAGAGAGCATTTGTGTGTGCTTGTTATGACAAAGCATGGCAGGTTTTCTTAAATCTCTGGTTTTGCACAGAAGTAGGGCATGGATGAGGGCCTGGAAGTGGTTGTGGGAAACATCTCTTCTGGCCATAGCCCGTCCTTTGGTGTTAAGCACATTTTACTTCTAGTTCCGTATCTGTGTGAAACAACTAAGATTGTGCTTATTACACATGTCAAGCTCTTTGAGCGGTTGTGTTAAAGCACTTCCAGTGTGTACCAGTGGAATAAGAGGCAGCAAGTGAAGTAAGGGTCGTCCCTATTTTACACGTTTGGACCTCAGGCAGGAAAAAAGCAAAGTGACTCACCCCAAAAGGCATCCTACATCTTGGAGTGTGTCACGCAGAGAGATGAAGTCTTTCAGAATTGAGGTCACCAAGAAGTTTTCAATGTTAGACAAACTCTTTTGAAAGCTGCCCAGGTAGTCACTTAGCACCAACTGCACCATATCTGCTCGTGGCTGGAGAGATGTCCCAGGGATTGCAGGTACCATCGGTAGGTGGTTTGGTGGCCCGTGGATGCCTGTGCTGCCGTGCAGAAGTAGAACCAGGCTTGTGACTAGTGTCAGGTTCACCGGGTGAGTAGCGGTAGATGCAGATCAAGACATACATCTCCTTGGGAGAAGTTTTGGTTGTGAAAGACGTGAGCTGCTAGGTAGTCAGCAGCTGTTTAGACAGTTGCAGGGTGGCTGAGCTGGCAGAGCACATCCTTCAGGGAAGGATGGTGCTGTTCCTCCTCAGAGCATGTTGGATTTGAGTTTTGGGATGAGGCTTCTAGAAATGGACTTAATGTTTGAAAAGTCCAGGATTAGCGTGTGATCTGAAGGCGTCTTTTAGATGAGCAGCAGTGTGGTGGTTAAATGTCAGTCTTTAAATGGTTGCTGTTACACGTCCAGTACCTCATGTCTATAAGACAAATGGGATGCGTTCATGCCTCTGGGTGCCTTTGCTGTGGGCTCTGGCTTGGAAAGACCAGACTGCTTCCATTTACCTTCTGAAGAGTCTCAAGGTCTGAAATTTTTCAGAAAGTTTTCTATGTGGCAAAACGGGTCAGAAATCAATAGGGAAGATAATTACTTTAACTTGGAGATATTTTCTGTGCTCCCAAACAGATCTGTGCGTTACCATGGAAGATATGAAATGCTGGACCTCATGACTCTGCATTAGTGTTTGGAGACAGTGGTGCAGACTCTTGAAATGGCTGTTTACACCAAATAGAAGCCCTTACACATTTCAATGTCAGATGAGAAATATCCTGGCAAAAGATTTTCACAGTTAATATATAAATTTATAGAAACTAACATCAGAGGCCAGCAAGCCATAAAATAAATTGTGCAATATTTTATTATCTTCCTTGCAAATTGAACTGAAGAACTCCTAAATGATCTTACACAGCAAAATAATTCAGTTTGACCTCCAACTGTCATACAGGCGGACAAACACTTTAATGCTGAGAAATGCCTGGGTCAGACAGTAGTTTGGTGCTCTCCAGCTGATTTATTTGAATTTCTTTGTGGTGGCTAGGATTTCCATATTCTTTCCTTTTTCAGCACACAGTTTCATTATAGGGCACTAACACTGCCGTGAGCAAGAAAATCATTCTTAAGTGTGAATATAAAGAATTAATGCAGTATCCTCACCCAGCACTTTGTAGTTTTCAGTACTAAAATGGGAGCTGGTTTTGGCTCCCATTTTAACTTTCACAGCACAAGTTACTTCTGGTCTAGTGGAGGGCCAGGGTGGGCGATTTCTTCCTTTGATAGCTAATACATGGGAAGACATCCCATCCTCAGAACTAACCGAATAATGGCTTTGAAAGCAGGATGGCACAGCCTAACTGATCGATTTGTCATTGGCTGACCTGAGAGGGAACATGAAAAAGATTCAAAAGCAGATAAATAATTGACATCGCCAGCCTTGAGTCCATTCAGCTCACAACCTTTTCTCCTTGCTTTTAAAGACAGATGAGTTGCTTTTGGCAGCTTCTTTCTTTGGCCCAGGCTCCCCTGCAACCTGAATGTTTGATTGCAAGAGGAAATAAGAAGTAGACCTGAGCGGCGATAGGTGTTTACATGTGATTTGAGTGTGTGTAGTCTCCCCTTTCTGTATGTGTCTGCAGGGCCTACAAGAGCAGAGCATTTTCTGTATGTAGAAATATATATATAAAATGTCAGGCACTTGGTGCTCTGGGAAGCAGTGTTTTTTGCATATCCCAGTGCTTTTCATCTTTCCTGTAATGTGGCATTTGGTTAATGAATGTGCCAGAGTGAGAAAACCCAAAGGAAACCCCTGGCTGTTTTCCCAGGAACTTTATTAATTTTGCAGCTCTCGGTTTTGAGGAATAGGTAAGGTCCCTACCCCCAACTCCAGAGAGGCTCTTAAGTGTTTTTTAAACTGTTATTCCTGAAGTAGGTTAAACTGTAGGTGTCTGAACCCTTTGAGTACCCTCTCAAGGTAAGGCATTTGCAGAGTGGGAGAGAGTCTGCTTTTCCGAATGCCCTGGCACAGGGTGTAAGTGAAAAGCCACTGACATGAGACCACCCAACCAAGCACAGTCAAAAACAGTGATTTTAAGCAAAAGCACAGTGCAGTTATCCCTGGTTTCCCCAAGCACCTGGCTTGATCTTAGTTATATAAAAGTCAGGTGGTGCCATGTGTATTCTGGTCCTGCAGTACCAGGGGTGTTAGGGACCAGCAGTTAAGTGACTTATATGCTGCACCCTGTCAGGAGCTCATGGGCTGTGAGGTCCTGAATTGCTGAGGCACAAAATAGTTTCCACTCCAGTATCCATCTCCTTTTCAGCGCTGATCTCAGCACCTGAATGTTTCTCTGGTCGGGAAGTCTGCTTGTGCCTTGTGCTGAGTGCCTGAGCTTGCCTCAGTTGATGCAAATTTTTTATCTAACTTCTTTCACACATTTCTTTCCCT